ATAATGTTGATAATAGGAATATTCATCTTTTCAATTGGAGCAAAATTTATAGGCCAGAGGAATTTGAGAATTTAAGATCATTTTAATGTATCTTTTCTTGTCAAATGTGTTTTGAAGATTATTAGTTCTGATGATTATTCTCTTGCTTTTAATATTATCATGGAGAAATATTTGAGGCTAAAGACCTAATAGATTTTCGGAAGAATGATCCTTTTAATTTTTCTTATTTCAAGGGTTGTTTATTCCGAGAGTTTTGAATATAAAGTAAATCAAATGTAGGGATTTTGAAAATTTGGCTATTTGGTTGTAACAAAACCAGATGAAAAGTATTTCATTCATGAATTTAGAATTCATTTTTAGTTCATTTTTTGATGATTTACATACTTCAAGTTGGGATGCAAGCCTGTCAAGAGCCTCATGGAGTTTAATGATAAACTTGTATATGCTCTATAAGACACAATAGTAACTAAAAGTCTCATATGAAAGACTTAAGGTAAGATTTATCTACTTAATTATCACATATTAGAGCTGACATTGTCTATGTTGTTAATTTGGTAAGCTTATTTATACACAATTTTAAAGAATCACATCTTAAAGAAAATATAAAGTTTTATAATATCCAAAAGAAATCCTAGGCATAAGACTTTTAATTAGTCAAAAAGGGGGAAGATTTAACTCTTGAAATTTACACGGATGCCAATTATGTATGTTTTAATTGGTTATATGATTACATGAGGTTAATTTTGGATATTAACTATTCTTAGGAGGCAACTTCTTAACTCTGAGGAGTAAAAAATATAAATTAGAACTGTCATTAAGAATCTACAAATTACCATGGAAGAAAAATATTCTGAAAGATGTAAAGGTTGAGTGAAAAGGTCCTATGAGGCTTTATTATCATAATAACTTAGCCAATAATGTTGCATATAACCTCGTACAATATGACCACACTAAGAACACTAAAGTCAACAGATGTTTTATAAAAGAAAAAAACTTAATTATTGCTTTATTTATACTCCTTTGTATCATAGGCGAGTAACTTGCTGACATTTTCACCAAAGTATTAACATGAATGTCCTTTAAAAATTATCAGGTAAGCTTGAAATAGATAAAATATTCATTCGGTTGGAGTGAATGAGGAAATAACCATTAAAACTATTCTTTTATACCTTGAAAATCAATCCCACAAGTTCGCTCTTGCCTCACTCTCCCCTACATCACTCTTTGACATCGATCCCAACTTTCCCACGCTATCTAGTAAACCATCACGGTGGTGCCAATTTGAGTGATTTTTGAATACATTAGCTCACCTTCGTCACCTGCCACCGCTAGGGGTGTCAATATTTGACATGATCTAGAAATCCAACCAATTTCGGGTTCGAGTCAACCCGAACCCGAACTGGGTCGGGTTTCCGTTCGAGTTTTCGACTCGTTTGAAAAATCAGGTAGGGTTCGGGTTGACCCGGAAACCCGAAATTAACCCGTTTTGACCTGTTAAAGCATGCCATCACGTCAGCCATCAGGCCATCTGCATTCGTGAGTCGTGTCTGCGTCTCGTCGCCATGCCTTCACGTTAGGTCGTGACTGGTCATCCGCGTCAAGTCTCCAGCCAGGCCATCGCGATTCACGTCAGGCCGTCTGCGCAAGGGAAAATTATTACGTACGGTGTCCGGATTTGTCCGTACAACAATCCAGACGCTCCACGTCACCCAGATAACCCGGGGCCCAGTGTATTCAGGTGACGTGGTGCGTCTGGATTGGTGTACGGATGGTCTGGTCACCGGACATAATAATTCGCCCTACGCAAGCGTCCGTTGTCGGAGTCCGAAACGATACAACATTCCGTGCTTGTGTCTGCTGCCGGCCTGCCATTGCCGTCGCGACGCTTCCTCGCCTTGCTGTTATGTGTCCAACACTTCAACCCTTTGGGCTTCGGCAGACCGCAAACGACAAACCACAGTCCCGCAAATTTGCATCCGTCGCACTCCGTCAAACAACATACCGCAAAGTCACAAACCGCAGTCGCCTCACTGTGTCTGGTCGGGGCGAGTTCGGGTCCAAAAAATCGCTGCATTTGCAAAAACGGGTCGGTTTCGGGTTGACCCGAATAGTATCGGGTCAGTTTTAGGTTCGACTCGAACCGGACCTATGACCCGAAATTGACACCCCTAGCCACCGCCTCTACTACTAGTAATTACTCCTGGTGGTCATTATCGATCGTTGTTTGCCACCACCGCCTTCAATCATCACTGCTACACCGGACACCATCAGGCTCAACCCATTGTCAGTGTTAGGTCACCACCGCCGGTCATCATTGTCTCCACTCATCAGTGCGGCCCCACCTACTCGACAATGCAATATTCAAATATTAGTTTTATTTTGAAAGCAACCAAATACAAAAAAATTCAATTGCTAAATTTATTTTACAAGCAATCAAACGGTAACAAAGTATTACAAATATATCATTTCACCTTACATTTTATTTTTAATACTTTAGAATTCAAAATACTTGCAACAAAATGACCCCTAATAAAGTATTGAAAATACTTGCAACAAAATGGCCCCTAAAGGAATTAGGAAAACCATTTTAGCCCTTCTGTCAGAACATCTCTTGGAAAGTTAATACTTGCCGGCTTGCCGCTCTACAAGATTTTGGAAAGATGAACGATTTATGTACATCCCTTTATCTACTGTTGTCAGAGATTTGTTTTGGATTGCTTGGGATCCCGATTGATAAGTTTTTCCTGATTTATCTAATTCATTGGCATAGGATTATTCCTACATACTATCAGGATGTAGTGAATCATTTATATTTTTTAATTTATCCTATCACTTGTTGTTTAGGGGAATCTTCTGGTAGGGTGGTTAATAAGGGGAATTTCAATGTGAAATTATTTTTCTTCTTTCTTTCTAAGGGTGGAATCATCACTATTGGCTACATGTGGATATAGAAGTCCATCTCTCTCTTCGGGTCTCTGCTTTGGCTTGTCTTATTTTCCTCAGGAAAATATTGAAGCAAATTCTTCTTGTTCATGTTGAATATTGTACCTTCCAAAGTGTGCTGCACCTGTAATTTATAGTTTGAAATAAAACCCATATTATCCTTAATTGCAATTCTATTCATAATATTTGGATAAGGGTTTCTTTACCAACTTGTTGTCCTTAACAATACAGCTGATTACATTATATTGTATTTTCCTCTCAATTGTTATCAGTATCATGTGCACTTTTCTAACTTGTAATCTCCCATGGTGTCTTTTTCTTCCGTCTTTTTTTTTACAAGAAGAGCTTAGTCCCAGTTTTTTCATGATGAAAATTTAAGTGATCGAGTTGATATATCTGCTAAATTGTCCTAGTCATACAACCTAGCTATAACATAAAGTTTGTGGACTTGTGAGAGGACTGAACCAAAGGACTATATGTGACTTAACAAATTTACAAGAAAGTAATCCCATGCAATACATGGGAGAATAAAAAATATTATTATTGTGACAATTCTTGATAATAATAATAATAAAAGAAAGATTAATATTTGTATTTCTCTTAGTTTTTGCATGGATTTATGCTTATTATAACATAAATGGTAATTACACCTAATCTTATTTAGGAGGGTAAAATTGATAAATTATTATATGATTTTCACAACATGCCAAACCATTAAAAGTACTTGAGTATAGTATAATTAGATCAATAATTGAAGTCAGATCATTGCCTGATGCAAAAAAAAAAAGAAAAAGAAAAAATAAAATTAAGATTAGTTGAATACCTCAATTTGATTTTTTCATATTAATTCAATGGAGATTTGATTGATTAAAATGATGCCAAATATGTATATTAGATTATATATATTAAAAAAATATATGACTTTTCATAATTTTATCATAATACTTATAGATTATTTTCATTCTCTTCTAACTAAAAGAATAGCAAGTTTGAAAATAATCGAGATGATATAAATAGAAGAATTAATAAAAAAAATTCTCCTTTTTTATTAATCTTTCTAGTTATATATTCAAAAAATAAGATTGATATGCATTTCCTTTTTTTATGATAATTTTTATACAGAGAAAAAGATCAAATTGGTCTTTTGACTCTTTATGAAGGGCTAAAATGATCCACAAATGTATTTAAGGATCACTTTTGTCCGTCAAGTTTTTAGAAATGAATCAAAATAGTCCTATGGTGGGATTATTTTGGTTCCTCTTTAAAGAGTTGATGGACCAAAATAGGCTTTTAATATATTTGGGGACTATTTTGATATTTCATAAAGAATCAATAGATCATTTTGATTATTCTCTTTTTATATATTAAGTGCTTTCACTTCTCAAAAATGAGAATACATAAATAGAAGGATTAATAAAAGAAGAGAAACATTTTCTTTTTGTAATTAGTATATGTATATATATATATAGTGGATGTATGTGATTTTCTCTTTCATGACTTTGTTTATTTATTGTAGATGTAGATTAGATATATCAAATAGATGTGAATTTCTTTTTTCATAATTTTATCTTGTATATATACGATTCCTTCTCTTCTCTTTAAAAGAAAAGGAAAAAAAAATAATCGTTTGGAATGGAGCTCACTCCTTAACTTGAAGCCTGAAGCCATAGAAATAATACTCATTTTCTCTCATTGTGGTGTGTGTGTATATGGATTGGATGGATGTGATTTTCTCTTTCATGACTTTGTTTATTTATTATAGATGTAGATTAGATAGATCAAATAGATGTGAATTTTTCATTTCATAATTGTATCTTTTAAATATACGATTCATTCTCTTCTCTTTAAAAGAAAAGAAAAAAATGATCCTTTGGAATGGAGCTCACTCCTTAACTTGAAGCCATAGAAATAATACTCAGTTTCTCTCATTGTGGCTTAATATATAGTATAGGTAAACTCAATTTACAGAATAAATGTTCATTATCTGATGCCGTCTAAAATAATTTTGACAATGTTACCCAAATTTCTTACAGATTTACTTTCCCATTGATTTTCAGGTAATGGAGCATGTTCGGCACCTAGAATCTCTAAATCTCAATGGCTGTCAGAAAATTTCTGATAAGGGAATTGAAGCTGTAACAATTGCTTGTCCTAAACTTAGGATATTTTCTATCTACTGGAATGTTAGGTATGCTTTGTTGCTTCAATTTTTTACTCTGCAAGAGCTATTTGTGACTATGGAAAGTATCCTACTAATCCTTTTATTAGTTGGATTCAGGGTGACGGACATGAGTATAAAATTCCTTGTGAAGCATTGCAAACATATATCTTATCTAAACCTTAGTGGATGCAAGGTAATGAAATTCATTATAATATTATGTTTTTTTTAACACGCTTATGATCTGTACTGAACCTTTGATCTGAAACACAATGCTTTAATGATTCTTGCATTTTCCTCATTTAACTCCTCTTACTCGCTGAATTGTCACAAAGATACTTATCTGCATATGTAGGATTAATAGACAGCAATGCACATAACAATGTTACGAGGTCAACTACTCGCTTAACAACCTTCACATTGCTCAATAAGCCTACGGAAATCTTGTGTACTGAAAAAAAATGAGGTTTTTAGCAAACTGTGTACTATACACCGTATAAACTTGAGTATTTTATGCAAAAGAGCCTTGTCTTGAAGCTATTTTTTTTAATTTCTTTGCTTTGATCATAAATTTGTTATAATTGTTTTTTTTTTTCAATTTAGTTACATTTAAAGCATTCTTATTCTAAGTACCTTTTAAGTTCTCTTATTTATTTTGAAAATCTTATAATACACATTTTGTTTCCATCTCATAGTTTGAGCATGCGGTTCTCTTTGACTACAATTTAAAAGAAGTAAACTGAATGCACCTTGCTGCTTGAATGCCCATAATTTGCGGGTTGTTAATATGTTTTAAGGATCAAGTTCAGTGTGACTAGGATTCATTAATACAGTAGTTGTGGTCATGCCATTTGGTTGTTGTCCATGTGGTTAATCGCTGTGTCTTCTCCACTTAACTCTGAACTAGTTCTATTTACCTTTTGAGGCAATTAACGGTTTTCTATTGGCTACTTTCTCTCAACATATTGAATTTTTTTTATGGAAAATGGACAAAATAATTCAATTAACTTTTCAAAATTTTTGTACCTATAAGCTTGGTTTAGTTTAAGGAAAAATGGATAAAATAGCTGCAATGCAAAATTTCTTTAATATATGTTAATTTTGTCCCCGGGAGAAATGTACTTATTTTAGTTATGGTCTCTTCTACTAGAACCATTTGGATATTTAAAGGGCACGTTACTGCATTTTGCTTAACTACTCTGCTTATCTCAGATGGAAATAAGTGCAAGATTATTATGCTTCACCAGCGTTAGAATTGTATAGTTTCTTAGACAATATTGCCTGAAAAAATCTTATTACTATATGACTTTTTCTAATTAAGGGTAATTTGAAATGGGCTTCTAAGTTTTCAGTCACTTGTGCATTTTAATATGCTATGCTAGTCAAGGACAATAACTTTGATGCAAGTTTTAAAATACATCTCTTTCATGAAAAATCCTTCATCCTGAGTTATGCACTAATTTGCAGAGCATCTCGGACCAAAGTTTGCTTCTCATAGGTGATAACTACAAAGAATTAGAAGAGTTAAACATTACGAGGTGTGCATTTAATTTTTTTTTAAATTATTACTCTACTTCTTTATAGCTATCAAATACTAACATTCTTTGAATGCCTTACTATGTCTTTGGGCATTGATTGGGTCATAATAATTTATTCCTTAGCAGCTCGCCATTTTAATAATTTTTTTTCCTTTTTCTTAACAAATGAAAGCATTTGACTTTGGGGTTATGGGTCAACTTGGCCTGAATTGATTTGGGCTGATTACGCCAACTAGAACATGACTCCGAACTGACATGGGTTTTTAAAACTGAATTTTTCAGTTGTAATCAGGTTGAATTCTAGTTGAATGTGTAGTTCGAATTATTAGGTTATAATTTTAATTTTGTGGTTTGATGAAATTTAAGTTTGTTCCATTGGATGTCATCATTGATCATTGAAACTCTAGGGGGTATCTTAATAATGCTTGATCTTCCTCAGTGCAAGCCAAGCATCTAAACATGTGATAGGAATACGATCTCCACACAACAAAAAAGCAACAATAACGAGGAGAAATAAGCAGGAAAGAATGAGATTATGGGCTAATTTTATTGATATCGGCACAACAAACCAAGATACAAGTTAATATACTATTCGAGAGGTAGATCGACTCTCCACAAATCCTAGGCGCCGTTAGGAACAACTCTAAAGAAAATTACTCCCAAATACAAAAATGACATAATGAAAATAAAACAACCTAATTAATCCTAAATAATCCTTCCTAATTTCCTCCCAAATTTGAATTCAAATTGGCACTCTTTCTCTAAATAAACCTCCTAATTCCCTCCCAAATCTGAATTTAAATAAGCTCTCTTTCTCTAAATGAACCTTCCTAATTTCCTGTCAATTTTGATTTTCTATGATAAGTAGTTAAAGGTTGAATTAATCCCTTTTGAGCCCCTCTCTCCTTGCCTGCCGACCACACTAGTGGGGCTCATAGAGCTCTTATACTGGCCAGCTAGACCGGGCCCCCTTGCTGGGGACAGGTTGATTGACTGGATTGACTCAGCTGGTCCTTTAATACTTCCCTCCTAAAGAGTCACATTGTCCTCAAGATGAAACCAAAGAAATTGTTGTTGAATCATCTGTATGATTCTCATGTTGCTTCATAGGCAGGCATATCGGTCCACTCAATTAGCATTTTTCTAGCTCCTCCGGTTGTCAAGAGAACTCCTCTCACTTTCATATGCTCTAGGATCACCTCCATTTCTTCTGTCAAGGTCATCGAAGCGTCGCTGATGGACTATGCTCACCAATAACTTTCCTCAACTAGGACACATGGAATACTGGGTGTATGTAGAAGTAGGGGGTAGCTGCAAATGATACGCCATAGCACCAATCCCCTCCACAACCTCATAAGCCCATAATACAATGTAGATAACCTTTCATTTCTTCTTCGAGCTAAAGTCTTCTATTTGTAGGGTGGAATCTTCAAATGTTCCTTATCACCCACCTCGAATTGCACATCCCTTGTATGCCCGTCAACCTGCTTCTTTATAATTTGTTGTGCCCTCAGTAGGTGCCCCTTTAGCTCTCCTAACATGCTATCACATTCTTCCAAGTGGGATACATATGGCGACATCATCGGTATCACCATTCGTCCTTGGTATAATAGTCTTTGATTGACTAAGGTATAGCCTGGATGGCTACAATAAATCTCTCATGATTTTGTCCAATCCTTCATCTTGTTGACTTTCCCTTCTCAATGCCTCCCGGTCCACAACTAAGAGAACAAATAGTCCTCCAATATAAATCATGGAGTGTGACATACCACGTGCTCTAAATACTCCACTCTAGGCTTGGCGAATGAGCACTTCTTCAGATTGACAAATAAGTGGTGGTTCCTCTGAGTGGATAACACCAATATCAAATATTCTAAGTGCTCCTCATTAGTCCTGCTATAACTTAATATATCTTCAAAGAAGATTGAGACAAACCTCTGCAGATATGGTTGGAATATCCTGTTCATCAGGGGATGGAAAGTAGCTGGGGTTTTACTGAGGTCAAAAGGCATCACTAAAAACTCATAGTGTCCCTCATCAGTTCTAAATGCCGTCTTGAGAACATTCTTGGGCCTCATCTAGATCTGATGGTACCCTGAATTTAGATTAATCTTTGAGGAAAACACCTCTCCCTAAAGATCATTCAGCAACTTATCAATCACTTGAATAAGAAAGTTGTCTAGCACAGTCTCCTTGTTTAACGCCCGATAGTCCACACAAAACCTCCAACTATCATCTTTCTTCTTTTACTTGTAGCATTGGACTAGAAAATTGACTGATATTGGGTTGAATGATCCTACCTCTAGCATCTCCCCGATCAATTTGTTGATCTTATTCGTTTAGATTTGGGGATAGTGGTACGGACGAACATTGTTAGGTGAGACTTCTTCCATCAAGATGATATCATGCTTGTGTTCCTACGGAAGAGGAAATCTCTGAATTGGGTGGAATACCTCTCGATACTACTATAGGAGTGGCTGAACCTTGTCTAGTGCTTCTATTCTCTCCCTATCATCTTCTCCTTCCAAACTCCACAGCTCCACAAAAAATCTCACTCCACCTTGGATTGCCCTCATCATGGTTTTGAGTGAAATCATAGTTTTGGACAGGCTAGGATCCCCTCTAATAACCACTCTCCTCCCCTCCACCTTGAACTCTATTCTTAGAGCCTTCCAATCAATCTTGGTCTTCCCCAACTTTTGCAGCCACTTCATTCACAGTTTCACACTGTGCTCTCCAAATCCAATGCTAGAATGTCTTCTAATACTTGAACCTATGGAAGGATTAGGATCACCCCTTTACAAATTCCTCTACTCCTCTCTACCTTTCTTGTTCTCAACATAACCCCAAACCCTCCATGTTCTATAATTTCAGTTCGGACTGATCTCCTATCCTATTGGAAATGAAGTTGTGGGTATCTCCACAATCCACCACTACTACCACCTCCTGATGCCCGATCATCCCCTTAACCTTCATGGTGTGGTTCGGTGTGAACTCGACTACTGAGTTAAGGGATACCTTTGCAACATCTAAGTGCAGGTGATCTCTTCCTCCTCTACATCCTCCTCTGCAACATCTTCTTCCTCATCTTAGACGATTAGGATATGTAACAAATGGTCCTTACAATAGTGGTTTGGAGTGAACTTCTCATCACACCTAAAGCATAAGCCCTTGGCCTTCTTCTCCTGAATTTCTAACTCGGTCAACCTCTTGAAGTTCCCCCTTTGTCGTACTCCTTGACCTTTATCCCTCGGGGCTTCCTTCTGAATAGGCACCACCCTAAACTTAGTGGTCATGCGATAGAAGACTTCCGAGCTACTTCTGCGACTACTCCTCTCCAAGGAGTTCTTATCCTCCATCAGCTGGGCTAATTCCGTAGCCTCCACTAAGCCATGCGGTCTCAATACCTCGAACATCTGCTCGAATATCAAGCACCATCTTAAGAGTAATCTCACTAGTATTCGAAGTGATGTAAAGGCGTCTATTATGGTTGGTGGTTCATAGTAGGTCCTCCTATGAGAACTCTATTCAAGGTGCCTCCTTGAGATAATGGTTATTGAAATTGAAAATTTCAATTGTGAAGATGTTATTAATATTGAGTCTTTGCATCATTACATGTTCAGTCAATTATGTCATATGATTAGGACATAGTGTCTTGTCTTTTTTTTTTAGAGATGAAGTGGATTGAAATCAAAGATTTATCGTGGCCTCCCCTCTAGAAATTCTCTCCTTTCCCATGCTCTTCCTCTTCGCCCTTTTCCTCTCTTCTTGGAAGGCATTTGTTCAAGAGCTATCCTCCCATACCTATATTGGATTTTCTTTATGCTAACCATTTTGAGCCACAAACTTTTGTGCTATATATTAGCGTGGGATCTCTCTTGTCTGAAAAGTGCTCTTTTGTTATGCTTGGCTAATGTAGTTTTAAGCATGATGGTGATGCGGGGATTTATCTTTTATTTGCAGGTGCATGAAGATTACTGATAATGGATTACAAAATGTTCTTAGGTGTATTACCCTCAAAAGCTTAAACCTTTATGCTCTTTCAAGGTAAGCATCTGATTTCTAGTATTTAATTGTTTGATAGCATATGCCGTAGTTTCAGAAGGTTGATGAGATTGCCTCATTATTTATTAAATTCTTTCTGCAGTCTCACAGATAGAGCTTATGAGAAGATTGGTTGCTTAGCACATCTGGAATTCTTGGACTTGTGTGGTGCCCAGGTATTTTCTATGGCTCCTAATCCACTGCCAGTGGCAGTATCTTTGAACTATTGATTGGCTAACAATAACATTTCAAGTTCTATCATCAGAATCTATCTGATTGTGGCCTTTCCAGTATCGCCAGCTGCAGAAAATTGCTTTCTTTAAATTTGACTTGGTAAGCTTTTGTTCATCCTCTTTTTTTTTTTTAAAAGTAGAAAATTTTACTAGCAATTAGTCAAGCTATGTTATTTGGATTGAAGTGTTTGGGAACAAACCCACTTATATAGACCTGTCAATTTCGGGTCACGGGTCGGGTTCGGGTCAACCCGGAACTGACCCGGCACTATTCGGGTTCGGGTCAACCCGACCCGTTTTTGCAAACGGGTCAATTTTTGGGACCCGAACCCCGACCCTCTTCGGGTTCGGGTCAACCCGACCCGACCCGCTTAAATTTGATTTTTCGAGTTCCCGCACGGTGCAGCGGTGGCGGTCCAACGGCGGCGGCAGCGGTGCATAAACGGGTTTTCGGGTTGACCCGGCAACCCGTCGGGTCAACTCGAACCCGACCCGTTTTTGCAAATGGGTCGATTTTCCGGACCCGAACCCGACCCGCTTTGGGTTCGGGTCAACCCAAACCCGAAAATTCCGGGTCGGGTCCAATATTGACGGGTCTACACTTATATAGATAAGTTGAGTGTGGTAGAAATGAGGACATTAAGATGAATGTGAATTGTGAAATAAAAGGATGAATTGGAAAATAATTATATGAGAGGGGGTTTGTGAGAGTAGAAGATGCGTGTACTAAAGAATGAAGAAGAGCTTCAATAAGATAGGTAGATGAAAAAAAAAAAAAAGATGGGTAGATGAAATTATTACGGAATAATTAGTAAGAAAAAATGGCTAGACCAATGGTAACATGGTTTTGCAAATAGATTTACTCCTCTTTCAACACTTGATAGGAATCAATGAAGAGTAAGGATTCATAACGTCAACCCCAAATGGTTGGAATTAAGCTAAAGATGATGTTGAAAGTTCATATTTCATAAATTTTTTCAGGTGTGTACGGGTTACTGATGTAGGAGTCATAAAAATTGCTGAAGGGTGCAGAGCTCTTGAATTTCTCAGGTCCCATGCAAATGATGTCATTGAATTGGCAACTTTATGCACTATAAGATATCTAATGCAATTTTTTTTTCCATGCAGCTTATTTGGCATCGTTGGAGTAACTGATGGATGTCTGGAGGCTCTTTCTAAGTATTGTTCCAACACTATAACAACCCTTGATGTGAACGGATGTATTGGAATTAAGGTATTTGTGATATTATGTAGCTGCTGCAGCACACATTTTTTTTATTATTTGGAGTTTGATGACACTAAATTAGGTTGCCTAACCTTTTTAGAGGAGGCGCCATGAAGAGCTTCTTAAGCTTTTTCCGTATCTAAGGTGCTTCAAAGTGCACAGCTAATGTGGCGCATTTGGTTTCGGCACAAAAAACACTTTTTGAAGTCGAAAACCTTTCTATCTATTGCAGTTTATTCCGGCCTTGAGGTATTCACTTGAACTATGACATCCTTTAGTTATGCTTCCCATTAGGCAGTCTTTTGTCTAAATGGCAGTTACATTGGAAGAGTAAATATTGAGCCTGTATAAGTTATGTATATTTGCATAATGATTTATTTATTTTCCTACAGTATGTTGTTTATTATAAGGTTGTTGGTACTATGATAATGAATGTTTACCTGATTTGGTTTTTCTCTTGCAATTTATATATTTATTATTTATGTGCCTTATTCTCCAACAGTTAGTAGGATTTCTCGTTGATATGGCGGTGCTAAAAATCTCTCTCTTCCATATACCACCCACAAATTTTTTATTAAATTTTTGAGGGATTCTTCATGGTTCCAGGTGGAATCATATAACTGCAAGATCAGAAAATCATTTGTATAAGCCAGCTTGGGTATTTTTCATCGAGAGACAATTTGCAACTCATGGGTCAGATCTTTTCTATTGTAATACGAATTTATGGGGTGAGCAGGAGAACATAAGTAGAACTGTCAACATCTCTAGTTAAATCTATACTATTGAATTTTTTTTTTCTTTTGTACAGCATGGCTAAAATATTGAACAAACAGTTGAAAAAGTTTCTTGAAATTTGGAAGTTAGTGATTTATGTTGAACGTATAATATTATTTTCATTTACTCTGATGTAAATTTGTTTCACTGCAGTTTATTAGCTCTAAATAATTTTTATATGCGTTTGAGGTGCACAGGTGAGCATTAATGATGAAGCAGAGAGGTGGACAGGTTTGGATTAGTGAGGAAGCAGATAACATCATTACGAGAAATGATCCTGGTTGTTGTTTAGGGATCTATTTTTAGTTGTGATATGTAGTTTTTGGACTTTTTTGGTTCACTGATCTGTATTTTGTCTTATGCATTTTCGCTGAGTATGGAGAATGGGGTTAGTAATATATTTAACTTTGTTCATGTATTCATATATACATGTACATGCTTAAAAATCATTTTAATTTATTTATGGTTGAATACAACACTTTCTTTACCTGAAATAAGCATGTCCAAATCTATTCAAAAAACATTGCACCTAGCTCATAGGATTATCATCAATGCAGGGTGCCGAGTGAGATTGGCACATATAGCCTTCCCCAGCATTGTAGAGGAGCCATTCTGTGATTTGAATCCGTGAACCGTAGGTCACCAGGGAGGAATCTGCCTGCACTCTTATATCCAGATGTAAACTGAACTCATTTTATGGCAGCTTTTATATCTGTTAGGTATTTGTTCACTCACATCAGCCTTACGAACTTGAAATGATTTCGTTGTGTACAAGATTACATAGGGTGGAAACTATCAGTTAAATTATAAAACAAGAAGAGTTAATGATAAAAGTACAAACAACATTAACAACAATATCATGAAGCCTTTATCCTAATACGTGGGGTCTGCTACATGAATTCTTTTTCTCCATTATGTCCTATTAAGAGTCAAACTCAGTTAAATATGATAAAAAAGGCCATTTCAAATGCTTTCTACCAAATCTTTTTAGGCCTACCTCTACATTTCTTAATAAAAGTTGGATCTATACATCTAATCTCCTAACGGAGTCATGGGAGGCCAGCGCTTTATGTGACAAAATCTTTGTTGACATAATTTTTGAGTGGACTCGACTTAGATTAAGTCGAATCGGATCCGATTGGGTTCTTAATCCTTGTGTGGACTCTGACAATTTTTGTGTTGACACAATATCATGAACCTTTATCCTAATATACTAGAGGCATCTTAATCCTTGCACCAACCCTGGCCTCATGTTCTACATCGCGTGAGCACAATAAATTTATTGAAATGATGTGTCGTGCTTTGCGAATGGCATTTAAACTCATTTTAAGTAAGTTTTGATGGAAGATTTTAATTACCTCTTCAATCTACATCCAATATAAGAGGTTAGCTTAAACTAAAATTGAGTTTTTAGTTTGGTTTGTGCTGGATAATCAGTTTCTTAATTCTCACTATTATCTCATCATGGGCGATAAATTTTGATGGCTAATGTCGAGCCATCTAGAGACGCGATCTTGCATTCTTTCACGGACTGCCACTTCTCCCTCTGAATGGCTTTCTCATTTTTTTGTCCTGCTTAAGATGGTTAGTTATGAAGATCAGATTGGTGTGATGTGTAATACATGGACATAGCCCATATCCTGTTGGGTTGATTCTAGCTCTATATTGGGATGTGATCCACTATGATCTTAGAGAACACCTATGTATTCAAATTCAACCATAAAACTATCAAACTTCTATCTTTTAAACCATAAGAGTAAGTTGTTCCACTTCCCTTACGCAAGTCCTTTCCGCATTGAAGTTTATAGCTGTCCATAAAACTATTGCTAAATCGTAGCTGATAGTTATTGACCTCTACACTTCCTCACCCATTTTCCTGAATGACTAGGTGCATATCGAACACTTAGATTTCAAAAGGTTTAAGAAAGAAATTTTGCATAGACTCCACCCTTTATTTGCTACATATCAAGGATATCACCTCCACCCCTTTAGAGATTCACATACATGTGGTTTCTAGTCTCTTATCTGACCTTTGAAGAACTACTTGTTTAGGGTTTCAAAATCATTCATAAGAAAATTCTTATGAATGATGGTTATAGTATTCAAAATCATTCATAAGAAAATTCTTGTTGTTTTAGTTTGATGATATTTTAATTTATAATTTGGATAAAAAGTCCACTTAGATCATCAACATGAGCAAATATTTGATGTATATAATTACATCAAATATAGCAAATTGTATGGTACAATAGTGATCATACGATATGATTTGAAGATCAATTTCTATTAATTGTTGTATCTCCTCATCTTAATGTCACCATGATTATTATTTTAAAATGAGTCTGATCATACAGTAGGATGTACTTCGTGCAAAACTACTAGTTTTACTTAGTTTTTTATTATTTTTTTTATTTTTTCTTATTTCACTTATGTGTGTGTGCTGGTTTCTCACAAATTTCTAATAATGAAGCCCTTATCTTGAAATCTTTCTTGCTAGCTTATCATGAAATCTTTCTTGAAATCCCTTTTTCTGCGTTCTATATCCTCGTTCAAATGCCACTAATATTTGAATTTTATTTTCAATCTTATGTCAGCATACAAATATACACAAATCTAAAGCATGCAAATATACACAAATCTAAATCAAATCATATTAACTTAATCCAAATTATATTTGTCAAAATAATTTATTTCTCCTTATAAGAGATCTTTGGCCCACATAGGGCACTAAACATCATGAAAAGGATTCACAACCAAAAGAAAACCTAGAAAATACACAGGGGACCAAGTAAAGAAGCTGTTGTTGCATTGAAATGAAATAATGAAATCAAAGATGTCGGTTGGAAGATTCTCATCACATGCTAGGTTCTTCCTCATTACTTTGTTCTTATTGTTTAGTGAAAACCTTGCTTTTGTTGAATAGCCATAGTATTTGTATTGTTCTTGAGATCTGGTCAAGATATGCGTCATTGAACTTGTAGTTGTCTGCTTCATATTAATTTAATGATATGCTCTCGAGGAAATGCTTGAATAAAAAACTTTGGAAATCATCAGCAATTCGTAAGATTCAAGCTGCCGTTTCTTTGTTTTTGTGCATGAATGATTCAAGCTGCTAACTTCTCAGATTTTATCATAATTTTCTGGAGCAATGCCCTGCATACTATCTGCTTACCAATAAAACACAGGCCATTCATACATCATGAAATCATTGTGGACTGATAAAATCTAAAGAATAAACATAAAGGTTAATGGAAAGAAGTGAAGTAAATAAGCAATAAGAGATGTAGTATTCACAGAGATCATTTGACTTCTTAAAGTTTGCTGGATTCAATATTTATATCAAACGCAAAGTATCTTGAAAATCCCTCAATAGTGATGATTTAATTTCCTTTTACAAGCAATCAAATGAGTCTGTAGTAAAATCATGATTAGTTCAATATTTCAAGAAATTTTGAGATTGCTCGAATGATTAAAACATGAAAAGGGACATAAAGCTGATTGTATGAGCAGTAGGATGTGCTTCGTGCAAAACTATTAGTTTTACTTAGTTTTATTGATTTTTATTTTTTCCTATTTCACTTATGTGTGTGTGCTGGTTTCTCACACATTTCTAATAATGAAGCCCTTATCTTGAAATCTTTATTGCTAGCTTATCTTGAAATCTTTCTTGAAATCCCTTTTTCTGCTTTCTATATCTTCTTTCGAATGTCAGTAATATTTGAATTTTATTTTCCATCTTATGTCAGCATACAAATATACACAAATCTAAAGCATGCAAATATACACAAATCTAAATAAATCATATTAACTTAATCCAAATTATATTTGTCAAAATAATTTATTTCTCCTTATAAGGGATCTGTGGCCCACATAGGGCACTAAACATCATGAAAAGGATTCACAACCAAAGGAAAACCTAGAAAATACACAGGGGACCAAGTAAAGAAGCTGTTGTTGCATTGAAATGAAATAATGAAATCAAAGATGTCGGTTGGAAGATTCTCATCACATGCTAGGTTCTTCCTCATTACTTTGTTCTTATTGTTTAGTGAAAACCTTGCTTTTGTTGAATAGCCATAGTATTTGTATTGTTCTTGAGATCTGGTCAAGATATGCGTCATTGAACTTGTAGTTGTCTGCTTCATATTAATTTAATGATATGCTCTCGAGGAAATGCTTGAATAAAAAACTTTGGAAATCATCAGCAATTCGTAAGATTCAAGCTGCCGTTTCTTTGTTTTTGTGCATGAATGATTCAAGCTGCTAACTTCTCAGATTTTATCATAATTTTCTGGAGCAATGCCATGCATACTATCTGCTTACCAATAAAACACAGGCCATTCATACATCATGAAATCATTGTGGACTGATAAAATCTAAAGAATAAACATAAAGGTTAATGGAAAGAAGTGAAGTAAGCAATAAAGCAATAAGAATTCACAGAGATCATTTGACTTCTTAAAGTTTGCTGGATTCAATATTTATATCAAACACGAAGTATCTTGAAAATCCCTCAATAGTGATGATTTAATTTTCTTTTACAAGCAATCAAATGATGCTGCAGTAAAATCATGATTAGTTCAATATTTCAAGGAATTTTGAGATTGCTCGAATTATTAAAACATGAAAAGGGACATAAAGCGTTGCGCCTGCTACATGACTATAAGTTGATTGTATCATCAGAAAAGGCAAAAAGGGTGTATTCAATGCATGGAGCTAATGTAGGATCTATGGAGGGTTGGTTGTATGAGCATTACAGAAAGATTGTTTTCGTGATTTGAACCTCTTACCTCTATAATACATTAGATGCAACTTAACCTCTGCGCAAAGCCCTCCCTCGTATCAGCAGAAATGTTCAACTAATGCAAAGACTGTGGCCCCTTGACATAGGCTTTCTGGTTTTAGCCGAGTAGCACTAAGAAAATGATTTCTTACATAAGAGAGAGGACACCGCTTCAGCTTCTATCAGCATCTGTGAAGTCGGTGTCATCTCTCCTAGACAAGGAATCCCAACTTCAGATTCCACTTTCTTTTTTACTATGTGCTCCTCTATAGCTTAAGCCCCCTCTATTTATAGCAGATGAAGGTAATCTAACTGCAAATATTTCTCCCTTAATGTCTCGTTCGTTATGTTTAGGTTGACTTATTGAGCCCCAGGAGAAGATGCAACATCCTATCCTATGGCCTTGGAGTGCCCCCTCGCTCCTTCACAGTTAAGTTTCTAGATGCTGAAAGTTATTTTTTTATCAGTCAAAGTCAAAATGACTATAATAGCTTGATGTGTGGTTGCTTATAGGTTCAATGAACCAGGGATTTAAATTCTCTGGAGAAAATATTATTAAATTGTTATAACCATATGATGGAGTAGACATTGACTGTTGACTTGGATTTCAACATAAGGCTAGCGAAAATGAATAAGGTTTGATTTAAATTTTTATTAATTTCACCATTTGCAAACTGTAAACGTTACGATCAACATCAAATGGCACTAAAAAGAAGGATTAATTGGGTCTGATTTTGTTTCCAAATTTTTTTATAGAAAATGATTTATAAACAAAATAAAATAAGAATTTGATTTGGTGGACTGCAGTATTTTATGAAGTAAGAAGTAGATTTTATTCAAACAACATAAATGTACTTCGCGATTGATTAAACCTTTCAAACATTTCCTAACTTTGTCTTTCCAGAAAACATTAGACCAATTCGTCAACATCCTCTTCATTTACTGTTTCTACTTGGAATATAAGCATTTGTTTGAACTATTACTGGAATTTCTTCTCCCATAATTGGTTCAAATAATAATTGTACAATTTTGCAGTGGCTCCCAGCAGTGACCATTCAATCCTTTTTTAAAATGATTTTTTTTTGGGAAAAACCTTTTTAAAGTAGAAAAACGTGCTCAAATGCATGCGTTTGTCATTATATCATCATCGAAGTTTCAGAATGACTATTTTAGTGGAGTCCGGCCTAACTATAAAAACACTTCTGAGAGTTTACTTGCTGGTCAAGTACGTGAAATACTATTTTAAGATAGTGCCGAAAATTTTAAAAAATTCTTATTATACTAGCTCTAATTAAAGGAAGGCTATTGTATATATATATATATATATATTATACTTATTATAGGTTAACATGTCTTTTACCAATCAGAATTAATTAAATCTTTATATAGTCTTTCTTGCAAATACACACATGTCATATTCATCAAATGAGATATAACGATCTCTCAAAATTTTTAGAGAATATTATAGATCTCATGAATAGGAGAAATTATTCTGTGTGGAATCCAGTCATGCATAGCTCCATAGTCATGCATAGCTCTATATTCAGATTTCACACACAATAATTTTTCCATGAATAGGAGGATAAATCTATTGACAATCTCTTTAAATTTATGAAATTAGCATGTTTGATATATGTAAGACTACTTGCATCAATTAGACTCTAAATTTAGTGTATATTATCTGAAGTCAAATATAATCACAAGGGTGTATATATATATATATATTTGATACATGAGATATAAATTTAAGTTGAGTATTTAAGATTTTATGAACTATAATATCCGAAGAGAGTATTAACTCAAGGTATCATACATTATTCAAGGCATTTTTTTTTGGGGGTTAATTTTACCATTCTTCAACCCTAAAATTTTTATTTATTATTAATTTAGAAATCCTAAAAATAATAAAAGGAATCCCTTGAATTAACTTAACAATTTGATGCTGACTGCATAGGTAATAGGTTATAATCAAAATCATCAATTTCATAGTTTAGAAATCCATTGCAATAATATGAAATCATTTTTATGCTGCCTGTAGAGTTCTAATAAGGCCACCACTAAAAAAAAAAGTCACATGAGATTATCTCCAATTGAACTTCATACCACAGTATGTCGTCTGCCATTTGCTCCATTCAAACTCCAAATCACACGCCAAATTCTGGTAGGTGAATAGTTGGCGTTGGATTGTTCACCTACGCCAAAGAAATTTGATGCAGAATGTATCGAAGAAGAGCGTGAAAGAGGAGAAAAACACGCTAGAGATGGTTACCTTCGCATGAAACGTGCGAAAGAAGAAAAAAAATGACGTTCAATTGGAGAAGAATAACTGCATTATTGGGTGAAAAATAAGTTTTTTGATTGGAGATGCCCTGATATGTAACATATTGTTGGATCCACATGATTGAAATAATTAAAAAAAAAAAAGAAAAAGAAAAATGAATTACATAATATTACATGCTTCAGACTATCAATCACATGTTTTTCTTTGTTATATGGAAAATATCAAATGCATAACATAATTCAAATACATTTATGTTAAGAAATAGAAATTAAAATATTGGGCTGAACTAGATTTGGACCACAAATTATCTATAACGAATAATATTACAAATATGCAATATAATAATAATCTTGATTAAAAACACTCAACTCTTGTGTTATAATTCAACTAAAAAAGATGAATTCATTCTATATTTTTTTAGCTCAATCTAATTCATTTTAGTTTAGGGTTTAAAAAGTCTAATCCTGTTAGAGTTAAATATTAAAAAATGCTGCTAAACATCGCAAAGACGAATTATTCTCTGATCACAAAAACTCTTTTCGTACAGCTTGCCAATAAATCACCATTTTACCACAGAGCAGAATTACTTTGATACGCCATTTCAATAACCATCACCTATTATCCATAACCCATCATTCCATTCTATAACATTAACATTATGACAGTCCTTTACCGTCAAAATTCAGTCAGAAACGACTCATTAGTTTCCATTCAAGCTTAAATCAGAAGCTAAAATCAATTTAATTTTCAGTTAAATTTCAATCTTCAAGCAAATTATTAGTATTACAGCAAACACACATTATTTTGTACATTTGATCCAATCTCAAATTAGCAAAATTTAAATAGCGCTCGACTGAATCAGGGTTGGTCTGGCCCATTAGCCAGCATATTGGTATTCATTCAAACTCAATAGATGCCACTATTATCCAGTGATCTTCTAGCTGAGTGAGACAAGTTGACACATTAAATTTGCTCTTTTTCATTTCCTAATCAACAAAGTAAAATAATGATAATGATAATAAAAAAAAAAGATGAGATCCTAGAAAGAAAGTACTTGCACATCTATGATACTGGTATACACAACAAAACACATCTGCTTATTCTTTATAGAAAAATCAGGAAACACAAAATCGCAAAAGAGGTGCTAAATTTACCAAACTCTGCAAGCTCACAGTGGCAGATAGTAAATAATAGCAAAACAAAGTGATTACCAGCGGGAATCCCTAAAGGCTGAGGAAGTGCCACCAGATGCTGCTGGAGATGGTGAAGAAGCAGGAAGATGGGTTCCAGATACAGAAACTGTAGGAAAGCTTATTGAATGTCCATGCTGACCTGTAGGGGCAAAACGGGATGGGCTAGCCATCGAGCCAGCCATCAATGAGGTTGATGTAACCTGATGAGGTGCACTTCCACGAGGCACATGAACCTGCATAAAGTTGAATCCTACAAATGATATATTTTGAATTCACGAAGCTTTTATGTTTCTTAAGCAATGGTGCAGGCGAAAAAAAAAAATTTTTTTTTTGACGAGAGGAATTCAATTTCTGTCATCTTCTAACGTTTAATCGCTAGCATATAAACATGACAACGAATATATTTCAAAAGAATACTCAAATCACTCGAGTTTGTTGAAAGGAATGAACATTGGATTCAAAATCCTTTTATCAAGCAATACAAATATAGCACTACGAGATCAGAAGTCAAAATTCGATGAAAAGCTAAGAAGAAAGTAGAAGATACGCTCACTATTATGCTCTTAGCAATTACCGTATGGTGGAAAGGACCGTGTGATGTTTTGCCGATGGATGTTGTAGACGGAGATGTAATAGGCATAGGAGGCCATTGACGTGCTTGAATGCTGAAATTGCCAGCAGCATCCGATTCTCCTCCAACATCACCACCAAAGTTCACCTCTACACCAATTTTGGGTGGATTTCTTGCAGCATAATTCATTTCAGCTGAAGCTTCTGCTTGTAGAGGAACAGATGAGCGTGCAGGAGCCGACAGAATGCTCCTCCTTTTGATTTCCTCTTCAGCATTCAAAATCTGATCAGAAAAATCAGAATCACTACTAAATAATTTTTTTTTCTGTAGAACAAAGTCTATCACTGAAGTTTTGAGAATGAAATTCTTCAAATAAGAAAAGGTAGTTAACATTCACGTTTCGCAATTTGTACCAATTATCTTTTGAGGAGAAAGTATTCCAAAAACTATTTAAATTTTGATTAAAATATTCTTTTTTGCACACAAATGCCATAAGCCATCTTACGTAGGCACCATACACCTACCTTGGATCACTAAACGCAGAATGAGAAGACTTAAGAAAATTAGGACTATCATTCTTGCATTCGATAAAGGTGATGCCAAGCCTACAAGCGCATCAAAACCATTCTTCAAACATAAATAAAGAAGCAAAAGAAGCAAAAAAAAAAAAAAAAAAAAAAAAAAAAAAAAAAAAAAAAAAAAAAAAAAGTCTAAAGTCTAAATCTGGCATAAGCCAATACAATTTGGAATATTGAGTTCTTGAATGAAATAAGGTCATCAGTAAACTTGAAACAGAGAACATAAAGAAGCAGCAAAGCAAATTAAACAATTGCTCATGTTGAGTCACTGTGGCGATCAAATATGCATAAGCACAAAAAAATTACTCCTAAGTTAGTCCAGGCATGAAGAAGAAGACCATTTGGGATGAGCTAACAGCTATGATGCACGGACACGGACACGGCTTTTTTTGAAAATATAGGACACGAGTACGGCACGGACACGACAATACATTTTTTTATATAGTGTATATATATTAATATAATATCATATTAAAAATGTCAAACAATAATAAATGAATGACATGATAACTTGTCTAGCTTATAATATAAAATATTTTGTACAAAATATCTAGTACAACCATAAAAATATAAGCAAATAATAACTTACTACAACATCAAGCATTTAAGCTTCAACTACTAGGATTAGCTTTAAATGTTTGTTTTTTGCCTTCAATATCATCATCATTGAATATCACTACTTTCAACTCTGGTTCAATAAGAGAAAGATTTGTAATTGTGCAAAAATAGAGGAGATGAAAATATCTTCACTGCCAAAGAGAAAAAAAAATGAGAATATTCGATGAATGGGTATTAAATGCAGACGTTGATTTGGTGTTGTGGACATGAAATAAGAAATTTAGTTTAAATCTCGCCAAATATAAGAGGTTATATTTTTAAAAAATTATAAAATATTTAAGATAAGCGTGTCGGACACGCGTGTCCAATTTGTTTTTAATATTTTTTTAATCAGACACGTTTTTGGCGTGTCCGACACGTGTCGGAGGAGTGTCGGACGAGGGTCGTGTCGGACACGGTGTCAGACACTGCACGCCTCTTTGAGGAGAAGTGTCGGTGCATCATAGGCTAACAGCCATCAATGATAACTGAATCACCATCTTCAAACTAATTTTGCTATCCAGCAATGATCCAAGATCAAGAAATTGGACTTTTTTTATACAAGATCAAGTGTCCGATTTCATGCTTCTGTGATTTCCATGCCACAGTGATAAGACAAAGCAATAGTCCTTTAGAACCGTAATCATCAGATCGTCTCATGATTCATAATAATTTGATGCATCTTGGAAATAAAAACAGTAAAAAAACTAAGTAAAAATCACAGGAATACAAATATAGGGGTTGATTTTTTATTAATACTTCAACAATAATAAAAGATCCAATTGATCTACACTATTCAAGAGGTAGATCAGCTCTCCCATAAACTCTAGACACCACTAGAAAGTACTCCAAAATAAAACTACAGCAAACACAGGTTATCTCATGCCTTGCCCTAGAAAAAAACTCTCTTAAATAGCTCTAGCACACAATAACACAAATATAAAATTCCTAAACAACATAAACATAATTTAGGAAACCTTCCTAAACAACATAAACATAATTTATGAAACCTTCTTAAATAATTAAAACCTTCCTAAGCGTAATAAACATAATTAGGAAACCTTCCTAAACACTCCTCTTGATTTCTCTTCCTTCCATAATGCATGACAGCTCTCATGGACCTCACAAGGCTGGTCGAACCCTCCCCTTCACTCCTTTCCTGATTTCGCCCAGCCCCCTCCTATCGTAACATAATTCTTTCATCAATCTCAATGCTTCAATTCAAATTTAACTGTTCAATTCTATCATCTTTATCTAATGCTAATTTCCATGATCTCTATCATGGTTTATTGGTTTATAGTAATTTGATGCCTCTTGGAAGTAAAAAGAGCAAAGAAACTAAGTAGAAATTGCAAGAATACAAAGATAGGGTCAGATTTTTGATTAATACTTCAACAATAATGAAAAATACAATTGATCTACTATTCGAGAGGTAGATTATCTCTCCCATGAACCTTAGGCGCCACTAGGAAGCTCTCCAAAATAAAATTGCAACAAACACAAATTATCTCATGCCCTATCCAAAACAAAACTTTATATTAAATAGCCCTAGCACACAATGATACAAATAGAACATTCCTAAATAGCATAAACATAATTTAGGAAACTTTCCTAAATACAATAAATATAATTAGGAAACTTTCCTAAACATCATAAACATAATTTAGGAAAACTTCCTAAACAATTAAATCATTCCTAAGCACAATGAACATGATTAGGAAACCTTCATAAACAGCCCCCCTTGATTTCGCCTAGCCTTCTCCTGCCGTAACATAATTCTTCCATCAATCTCAACGCTTCAATTCAAATTTAATTGTTCAATTATATCATCTTTATCTAATGCTAATTTCCATGATCTCTATCGAGAGAAGGTTTTGTTGAGCCATTTCCATCATTTCCTTCAAATCTATTTATTGACTTGAGGATTGAAGCATTGTCCTGAAAAAATACTACTGAAGGCATATTCACTTGTTTTATTGAAAACATTACAACTTCAATACCTCTAGCAATTTCATAAAATTCCAATCATACAACAGTTTGACTATAGCACTTGAGATTGGTGGGAGAGTGACAACTTAAGATCATAAGCCTCATCAAGAATCCTATCTAATGAGATTATCATACTTTAACACTCTTGAAAGTTTGATTATAGCATTCCATCATCCCAAGAAAACTAGTGTAATGGCATCATAAAGGTCCCGCCACCTTGTCCATGAAAACCATAGTTGAACATCTAGTAGATAAACCAAATTAGACAAATTCACATCAGTAAATCATATAGTCAGGAATCTATTTCCCATGAGGAAGAAAGAGTAACGAGTTATAATGAATGACTGAGTGTGAAACAAGAAGCAACCTTTCCAAAACATAAACAGTTCCTTTTTTGCTCCCATAACTTTAATAGCCCAAATATGAGCAAATCCTTATTAATTTACCTAGGAGTCTATGAATTGATGATAAATTCAAGATTGGTTCATAAAAAATAAATAAATAAACTACTACTAATGATGCAGAACAAAAATGCAATTGGTAATTATCTTCCATGAGGAAAATACTTTAGAAGGACTTAGTTTATAATCAATTAAAAGTAACATTACCTTTATTATGTTGGCATAAGGTTTTTAAGCAAATTAAATTAAATTCGATGCATGGTCGTGCCCTACATGTATAATCCTAAAAATAATTTCAGCCTTCTCTCTCTCCTCATGCAAAGTTGACAACTCCCCTCCCTCTCTCTCTCTCTCTCTCTCTCTCTCTCTCTTTAAGTACTAAGTCTGTGGAAAAAAAGAGGAATTTTTATCCACATATTGCTTACCATATAAGCAGCAACACATGAAGACAGGAGCTTCGATAAAAAGGAAGAGTGATCACAGGTGGCAATAAAGCAACAAAAGCAAAACTCTCTAGATTGGAGGGAGTGAATGGGCCACTCACAAAAGGATATTCAAATCTCGAAACTAGGAAGCCATGTACAAATCCTTCCACACAAGTATTTTCATTTTATTTCAATGTATTGATATAGTAAAAGTTATATAAGAGTACTTTCTATACAAATTAGCTTTATTTCCACAACATTAGGACCCCACAAACACCTCTACCTCTCCCCTCTATAGTTATCCCCCCCTCTCTACTTTCTGCCAAACCTACTAAACTCCGCAAGGTGCTAGCTTACCATTATCCTCATATCCAAGCCAAAATACAACACAAAAGAGCAGTTTCCTTGTATAACCAACAACCTAAAAAAAATTAAAACTCCCCAAAAGCTATAAAATATATCAATTAGTTGCATAATATTCTAAACCTTTGATTTGGCATTCCACATTTTCCAGAAAACCAATTCTTCCATAATCAAGAAGCTCTTATTTCAAATTTTCCAAAAAATCTAATCACCCTTTTCCCCTCCCCATGCAAATTATTTTACCATCGCCTCATTTTGCAACCATGGCTAAATTTCCAACATATACCATGACTATATTAGTTTATTTATCATCTAGTCATCCATCTTTTCCAATGTTCTCTATCCACTTCTCTGTTTAAAATTGCACAATAAAAGGCGTGCCTCTGCGCAATTCTGTCCAAAAGCGCCTCGAGGCGCACGCAATTTGGGCACTGGTTGAGGCGTATGCCTCACCCTGTGTGAGGCGCGCCTCAATTGCGCAATTATGGGTGAGGTGTACACCTCATCCAAATGGTCCCACCTACTTAAAATGAGCCTTTTTTTTCCCTTATACCCGATCGGTCCAGGCATTTTGCGATTTTTCTCCGCCCGCAAGCCCCAGGAGAAAAGTTCAAGAATTATCATTTTTCTATGAATTTGTATGGCAAAACAAAAGAATTCAAAATAATTTAAAGGCCTTGGTTTGTAATCAATTAATAGTAACATTTTCTTATCATGTTGGCATATCATTTTCAGCTAAATAAATTAAATTAAATTCAATGCTTGGCTAAGCCCTACATGGATGATCCTTAAAGAATTTTAGCTTTTTTTTTTCTCTTCTCCTGCAAGTGTGGCATCTCCTCTCTATATTACCGTGACAATTCCATGCAAAATAAGGGGAAATTCAACCCTGTCATTTCTTCCTACAAAACTAGCACCACATGAAGATGGAAGATTAATAACATTGGGTAGAGGTCACAAGGGACAATAAAACAACCAAAGCAAAAATCTTTCATCATGGTTGCATATATTTTAAGAAGCTTTAAAAAGATATAAAAAGAATAAAACACTACACCTAGAGATAAGCTAGCAAGGATACTTGATCTCATGGACAACTAGGAATGCAAAAATTGTTCTCAACAGAATTAAAATTAACCTGTTTCAACATCTGCACAAGATAATGCTTTTTCTCATTTAGAACGTGTAACTTCTGCTCCAAATCTCTTTTTCCTTCTTCTTTTTCAAGAGCTAAATCTAACTTGCAGATTACCTGAAATAAAAGAAAAATATCAAAATCATTGAGTGAATATAAATGTATAAAATTACTTGGCATGTCAAGAATCAAGTTGTTATGACAAATGAAAATATACTAATTCGGATAGAGTTAAAAAAAAAGTTAAATTGGTTTTAGGATGGCTGTTTTTTTTAAGCAAAACAATGGCTAAAAAAAAAACAACTGAATATTAATTTTAGAGTTAAGGTTTAACAGTCGAAATAGAGAAGTCCGCCATGAAGTTGGTGTGATAAGAGGATAATATGAAGGCTTAAAGGTAAATTTTATAAAATCTAAACTAAGCCAATGAGTTCGTATGTACCTAAATATTGAATGGTAAGAAAATAATTGGTATCTTTGTTAAGTGTGACAAAAAACTGAGAATATTAAGATAGATGTGAGATAAGTAAGAAATATAAATTAATGAATAATTATATAAAAGAAGGGTTACAATGACATCAATTGAGATAAAATGATTTAAAATAGGCGTAAGTGGTATGAACATGTATAAAGAATGATAGAAAACACACATGTTAGATCAATTGGTAAAATTAGTATTAGATGACTAATTAGAAAGAAAAAGATACGGGCTTAAGATTACATGGATAGAAATTGCGCAAAATGATTTGTGAAGGATATATTTAACACCTCATACAACAATCAATCGAACAAATAAAAAATAAGGATTCAAAATGTCGACGCCACATAATTGGGATAAGACCAATGGTGAAGATGATGATAATAAACTAAAATTTGTTTCCAGGAAAATGGAATTTAATGCTTACGTTGAATGTGTTCTTTGCTATGAATGTTGCCATTTTCTAGAACCAATAAATTCAAGAGTACTTGCATAACAATAATAGATTTCTAATGTTGCTGGAAGAGTTTATTGAATAATAGCAACAATGAAGTTATCTAATACAAAATAGCATTTAAATTTCATATATTGCATGATAAAAACACTATACATTGCCGCAAAATCACAACGCTTGATATGTAAAATGCAAATGCTTCAATATAAATGAAATGGATTGCACTTGACATGGCAGATCATTGTAGGAATGAATAACATGGTTTTACACGGAAGATCAACCATAAAAGATCAGTTTGAAATACAAACTACAATAGCCTAGATTATTTGTTACTGTGCTAGCCTAAGAGTTACATTCCATAGAAAAAAAGGATAGTCTACGGGATAAATGATCCATATAAGACAATTCATCAAAAATTAATTGAAAATGCAATTAGATCATCACTTCTCATGACCATTCACCCACTAATACAAGATTGATTGCTTGCAACATCATAATGGTTTGCCACCGCTTATTTAATGATTATTGCAAGATTATAATACTAACTTCTATGCAAAATCCCAATTTTTTTGTAAAACAACAAAGAGAACTATTACAAAGAAAGTACATTTGGGCTTTAAATGACAAGAATATAGCCAAAACTAATAAATGGATCAATCACACCGGTGTAATAGAATCAATAAGCACCCTAGCTATTGTCTGTAAGAAAGGAAATATGATAAGGAAAAAGTTGATAGACAACACAGATGCATGAGCTCCTAGTGCATGTGCTTCATATCAATCTCAGCTGTTTCACAAGAAAATCCCACTCCGCAACTTACCCATAAGTCATACGAAATTCTTTGTAATGATACCGGAAGCAATATTTCTAAGCAACAAGTTATAAAATAATCACAGCCTCAAACCAAAAATGATTTCCCTTCTCTAAAAACCATGTTTATAAGAACTTCGCAAAAAAAAAACCTCTTAGAGCTTTTTGGCTACAAGTAGGATTTTTCGAACGACGCAATTTACCAAAGCCTGAATTTAATCAATAATGAAGCTGAAATGAGATTTATCAAAACAGATTTAAAGTATTAAAATTCTATTTGGCAGGATTTAAGATAACTCTTACTTAAATCCTGTCTAAAACAGGATTCCAATTTCCAAGTAGTCCCTTAAAGAAACCGCTCTATATACCATACAACAGCAGCAAACATATTACCCAGAGCTACTTTACATTAACACAGAGAACTTAAAGAGCTTAAAAACAAGATGGTCACGAATCCTCAGCAAGAACCAAATGGAAACCAACCTTAATGAAAAAATGGATTAAAGAAAGTAAAAATGCAAATTTACCAGTTAAGCATAACAAATAAAATAAAATAAAATCAATAAATAAGCCAAATGAGACAAAAATGACCAGATAATTCGCCTTCAACGACCAACACAGCCAAATTATACGTCACCTGCTCCTTCCTATCGCCCTCATCCATTGAATCTACACCCTCCAGAGCCATACGATCCTCAGTGATGGCAACGATCCCCTTGCAATCGTTCAATGCCGATCCGCTCGGTTCCGAAAAGGAAACGCAGTTGATCGGGTCTTCTTTATGGCATCCGGCCTTGTCCATGTCGTCATGCTTCTCATTACTCACTCTAGGGTTAGGCTTACAATTAGGGTTATTTAAGGATGAGAATTGTGCAATAGCTAGGTTTCGCTTGCGGAGAAGGTGACGGAACTGGGCGAGGGAAATGGCGCGCGGCGGCATCAGCCACCGGCGGGGAATGTCAGCGACGCGGTGGAGATTACCTCGGTAGAGAGAGAGCGCCCCCATCGCTTCTCACCTCTTCCACCAAAAACTCAGGTTCTCTGCCATAAACTTTGTTCTTGGATTATAATAAGAGAATAAGATGACTTTATGTCTTTTTGTTTTTTTTGGGGTTTTTACATCCGTACCACTTTATAACATCTATTTTTACATATTTGACACTCTAAATTTTAATATTCATATTTACCACCTAAACACAATTCTATCATCATATATACCACTCCGTCCATTCCATCGCTCACGACGTTATCCCTTTCTCTCGAACAGGTTTCACCGTGAGTCTTCCCTTCTCCCTCCCGCGAGTTTTCCCTTTCCAGTCCCTAGGTCGAACAGCTCCAGGGTTACCTCGCGAGCAGAAGGCGTTGCCCTCGTCTGGTCAGATTGCTCCACATTTGCTTGCCCTCCATGAGTTTCGTGAGTATTTTGACCTAAACCACCGCCGAAGGTAAAGTTCTTCGTATTGCTCCGTCTGTGCCGAAGTTTTCTACATTTTTTCCACAAATGAACTCTTAGCTGCCGAAGCACCGTCTGTGCCGAAGTTTTCTTCAATTTTTTTCGCAAATGAACTAATTGTTGCCGAAGCTCTGCCTGTGGCCAAGTTTTCTACCTTTTTTTCGCAAATGAACTCATTGCTGCTGAACTTTTCTACAATTTTTTTTTCTAATGGATTATCCATGAATTTTGACATTTTTTTACTTTGACAGATTCTACAAAACTTCTCCAATGACTTCAATGAATTCTTCAGCTAGGGACAGAACACAACAGCAATCACCCCGACCCAACGACGCATGTTGAATTTAGAATTAATGTATAACATAGGCTTCAATGCCGCGATGGTGATTTTTGGTGCCATTGCGCTCAAAGGCTAATGCCTCAATGCTCACAATTTTAGTGTCACAGTGCTCTAATTTAAATAGGAATCCAAACATTTCATTTTAAAATATGTTTTCATATTTTGGATTGTTATAAAGGTTTATTTAGTTGAAAATATTCAATTTACCTGCATTTTAAACACTTTATGTTACATTTGAATAAAAAGAAATGTAATAAATTTTTAAGGAATTTGAAAAGTGCAAAATCTCATATTTTTTGTGTTTGTAAATTGTTTAAATAGCCAGATTTCAAATGCTTCATTCATTGTTCATTTTCACCTCCACCACACCTATTGCCCCTCGTCAGTGTCCCTCATGCATCATCAAATAAATTCAAAATATTTTGATATATTTCTTTATTCATCAATTAAAAAAGTCATGCATTTTACTTTATAATTTTAGAGGAATTTAAATACATGCCAATTTTTTTTATATATTTACATATGTAACTTCTGAACTTTTATATTTAATTATATATCATTTTAGTATCTAAATTTCATCAATAAATCAAAATGAGTATTTTATTTTAAATAAGTTAGTATTAATGATATTTTAATGTAACTTAAAATTTTAAATATTATATAAATAAATATATATAAGTTTTTTGGTATGTAAATCCTTCATAAATTTGCATTGAATATTTAAAAAAGATCTAAATGTTCTTACAAAATGACTAATTTAACATATATTTAAAATGTCAAAAGGATTAAATTAATATTTTTATATAAAAGAAGACTATTTTGATCATTTGGAAAAAAAGAATCAATTCCATCGTTTATTCAATAATTTTTTTTTTGACATTTAGACAAATTAAATCAAACTCATACATATATCACATATACAAGACTCAAATCCAATACCTCTTTGTTGATAGTCAAAACTCCCAACCAATAGAATAAGGTGAGCTGTGTCATCTAACAACCCCTAAATCATTTTTGGGCTAGGCCAAAATTAGAGTTGAAGTAATACATGAGCTTCTCTTCAAATAATGAGAAATTATTGTGTAGAGTCCGGACGGAAAGAACCATTCGAACTGTAAGTATACACATATTATGTACATGTGTACACAGTGTTTTGTCACATATATGCACACACACTATAAAACTAAAGTAGACTGCAAAAAAGTAAACAAAGAAGAAGAATAATAGAGAGTGAAGTAGAGAAATAGAAATTCATTTCTATTGATTTATGTATTCAACGCTTACAACCTTATTGTAGCTTTATGTATTTATAAAAGAATGTGTGTTAAGCTTTACAGGTGTAATGCTATTATTGGTTGAGTTTGTTATGGTTAGGAGGCATTTATGATTGCTCCACATGGGTCTGTTGAGCTATAATGGAGGAGGATACTCTTACCCCCCCTCAAACTAATGGTAAAGGCTAAATGGTTAGTTTGGTTCAAAGTAGATGATAGCATGGTGAGGGTAGTGGTTTAGTGAGAATGTCTACAATTTAATCAACAATGTTGATGGCACTAACCGAAGCTCCTTGGACTGAATGTGATCATGAATGAAGTTAAAATCCACGTCTATGTCTTTGGTATGGGCATGGAACACTAGATTGTTTGCCAAAGCGATTGCATATGTATTATCATAATATATGTCTATCACTTGAGCCTGTGGAAGGTTAAATCTGAGAGAAGACGACAGATCCAAATTATGTCTGCTGCAACTACTGCCAAGGATAGAATATTCCTCCTCGATGGAGGAGCGAGCTACGATTTGTTGCCTCTTGATTATCCAAGAGATGATGGTGTCACCTAGGAAATAACAGTAGCCTAAGGTGGAGCTTCTGGTGTCAAGATCGGTAGCCCAATCAGCATCAGAGTAGGCTGTTAGGTAGAGAGAGGAAGGTGATATGGGTAGGCCAAAGTGTAAGGTTCCTTTGATGTAGCGAAGTAGACATTTCTATAGATGATAGTGGGTGGGTGATGGAGAATGCATATGTTGGCATAAGTTATTAACAACAAAGAATATGTAGGTTGGGTGATTGTTAGATATTGGAGAGATCCTATAAGGTGACGGTAGGTGGTTTGGTTGTGGAAGAAGAGATAATACGGAGGATCAAGATGTGGTTTGGTGGTAGATGTAATGCCCCAAAATCTAAATTGGAAGAATTTTATTTTAATCTTTTAATAAACAACATCCAGAACTATCTAATATCATATATTAGTAATAAACAATAAAATAGATTATATAATTCAAAACATTAATTTGCACATCTATATTTATTCCCAAAAATCATATACAATACTCATGATTTATACAATCGTCTCATAGTATAGGGGTTGGCTAACGAGTTATAATTGTCCATGCTGACATTCTGTAGGATAAAGTTGATGATTATGATATAGAATTTGAATGCTAAGAAAATTTGTGGGGATGCCAAGATTTTTAATGGAGAATTGACTATTGATAGAGGAAATTTTGTTAAGGAGAGATAATTGTTGTTAGTCAGAAGAATAACATCCACATAGATTAGGAAATAGGCTTGATTTGAGTTTTGTTTGAGTGTGAAAAGAGAGGGATTGGCTGAGCTATTTTGAAAGCCAAGGGAGAAGAGATGGGTAGAAAATGTTTGGAATCATTGACGTGGGGCTTGTTTGAGGCCATAAATAGACTTTTGTAGTAGAAAAACATGGTTGGGAAAGGTGTTGTCTTCAAAACCAAGAGGTTGACACATGTAAATGATGTCATGTAGAGAGCTGTGAAGAAACACATTTGTGTTATCAAGTTGTTGAATGGGCCATTCATAGGTGACGACAATTGTGAAAAGTACTCAAATGGATGGGAATTTAGCAACAGGGTTGAATGTTTCATGGTAGTTGGGCCATATTCTTGGTGGTTACCTTGTGCAACAATCCGAGCCTTGTATTAGGCTATTAATCCATCGACATTTCATTTTTTTACGAATGTCCAATGAGAGTCAAGGACGAGTTGATTGGATGGTGGAGGGACGAGAAGCCAGGTGCCTTGTTGTTGAAGAGCTAGAAATTCAGATGCCATGGTTGGTCTCTAATACTGATGTTTGGATGCTTTTCCATAAATGGTAGGATAAGAAGTAATTGTGGTATGAAGGTCAAGAATTTGGCGGGGTTTAAGGGTGCCCATTTGAGATCATGAGGGAGGAGAGGATAGCATGCACATCCATAGATTTTGAGATGTTCATACTTGGGGATTTTGTGAAAGAGAAGTTGATATGGAGAGATATTGGAGATGGTTGTCGACTATAGCAGGTTGATAAGGTATACAATAGTAAGGAGAGTATCAAGCCACAAATGATAGGGAAGATGAGCTGTATGTAGAAGGGTTCGTGTTGTCTCGATGATGTGACGATGCTTTCTTTCTGCGAGACTATTTTATTTTGGGGTATATGGACAACTAATTTGATGTTGGATGCCATGAGTTTGGAGGTAATTTTTAGCTTATGGTTAATATATTCAGTGCCGCCGTCACTTTGTAGATATTTTATTTTGAGAGAGAATTGATTTTCTATGGCAACATGAAATTTGACAAAGGTAGAGAAGATATCAGGCTTGTGCATTAAAGGGAAAACCCATGTAAAATGAGAAGAATCATCTATAAATGAGACATATTATTTAAAGTCTTGTATTGATGGAAAAGGGGTCGGACCCCATACATCTGTGTGTATAACCTCTAGAGGTTTGTAGGTGTGGTTAATAGATCTAGAGAAAGAGAGTTTGTGACCTTTAGAGGTCTTACATAAAGAGCAGATATAAGAGGAAGAAGGGCCAGCTAAAGATCTATTATATTTGGAGATAGTTGCTAGAGCTTGCTAATGCAGATGTCTCAAGCGATGGTGCCACCGAAGTGAGGCTGGAATGATGGCGAAACATGTAGTAGTGGGTTGAGGACCGACGGAGTGGGATGAGATGCGGTAGAGTCCGTCACATCAGGTTCCTAAGATAATGATGGAATTTTCCATCCATTCCTTTATTTGAAAGACAAAAGAACAAAAAATGATAGATAAATTATTATCTTTTGCTAGAGTGGAGACGGCTGCTATATTGCCGACTAAGGACTTGATGGAGGTGAGATACTAAATCATGGTGGGTTGGCCCAAGGAGATGTTGTGCAACTCATTCTTGAGTTGAATGACCCATGACCAATTCGTAGCATGTAGGAGACACTCGAGTGTTTTCGAAATGTCGGCGCAAGAATCAAGGTTGAGGACGTA